ACAGCTGTTGTGTGCCTTTTTCATAGATGTAAGCATCCTGAGGTTTTGTTTGCATGGAATGGTTTGGATTGGAAGAGACCTTTAACCATCGAGTCCAGACCCCCTGCCATGGGCAGGAGCATCTTGCAGTAGATCAGGTTGCTCAAAGCCCTGTCCAACCTGATCTTGAACACTTCCAAAGATGGGGCACCCACAGCTTCTCTGGGCAACCTGTTCTGCTGTCTCACCCCCCTCATTGTAAACAGTGTCTTCCTTCATTGTGGCTTTTGCCTGCAAGTTCCTGAAGTTGAGACTCTGTGTGGGGAGGCAGTGGGCTGGGGGAGTGGAGAGAGCCAAGCAAGGCGGTGGTGGGCTTTCCATGGCTGCTTCTCCTCACCTTCACCTGTTGGCAGCCTGGAGGGGCCAAGTCAGATTGGGAGGCAAGGGACAGTGCTGCAAAGAGGCTTGGTGCTTGGCTGGAAACCACAAATGTCTCCAGTAGGAAACTCCAGTACTCCAGGCTGGTGTTCACAGGGCAGCTGGAGTTAAATGCGAGACGTCCATGAAGAACAGACCTTGGAGTAAATTTTCTTGCAGGGTCAAAAAGCTAGAGAGGAGTATAGGGTAGGGTGAACAGGAAGGGCTTTGGGTGCCTCTAGGGAGAGTTGGCAGGGGGACCCCAGAAGATGGAGGCAGGTGAGAGCGAAGGCAGAGACAAGAGACGCTGCCACAAGATGAGTATCTGAAGGGCAGGGAGAGTTGTAGCTCTTGGGGTTTGTGTTTATCTTTGCAGCAGTGATTATTTTCAGAGAGCCGTGTGAGAGAGTAAAACGTCAGCTCCCGCTATTAATAGCGCTGCAAGCAATAAGGCTGCTGCTCATTACTGACAGGTGAGATGAAATTAATTTTATTTCACCCTAGGTATGCAAAAGTGCAGAACAAGACAGGCTCTGAGTCAATCCCCGTGGTCCAGAAGAGAGGGGAAAGAGACCCCCCCAGCCCTGGGGAATGGCAGTGTGGGGTGCTTTTCCCAGGGTGCTTCCACCCTGCTCCAGAGCAAGTGCTGCTGGAAGAGTAGGCATGGTGAGGAGCTGCAGCTGGCGAGAATTGCTGAAAACATTGAGTTTAGGTAAAAAGCAAACTGAAGACCTTCAGGGTTCCTGCTCTGCAACTGGAGGTTTTGCCCAGAGGAGAGGAGGTCTCAGCCCAAGGTCAGCAGCATGTGGTGGGACCCCAAAACAGCCTTCGGCAGCAAATCCCCATGCCAATGGGATGTAGCTCCATGGAGGGAGGGATTTGACAGCCCCGTGGGTGAAAGCTGCTCCTGGGTTTGTAGCCACCTTTGGAAGCGTGAGGTGTTTTTAGCAGGCTGAAGGATCTAGCCACTGGTGACCCTCAGAGCAGGCGCACACATGGGGTGGGCGGCAGGGTAAAAGTCTTGGGGACTGATGGCACTGGTGTAAATGAGAGCCAAATACAACTCACAATTGTTTGAGCAGATGTGTCCTGTCTGCTGCTAATTATAAGCGTTGCGTGCACAACACACACTGGGAGATGTGCCAGATACTATTTCTTTTCACGTTGAACTCAAAATCATTATAATTAAGCTTTAAAGTTGTAAGTAAAAACTAACAAGGAGTGCAGGTTTGCCATCATGCTGCGTGCAACCGGGCTGGTCCCCTCTAGGATGGCCGAGTGTGAGGGTACGGCCTCCGTCCTGGAGGGTGGTCAGAGGGGGCCGGGGGTGCGAAGGGCCCCTGCTGCCATGGTGGGCACATCCAGATTTGGGGTTTAAATAGGCAGAAGACCTAAAAATACTGGAAGCGTGCTGTTTTACAAAGGTGGGAAGTGTGTTACTGGTTGAGCTTTAGCAGCTTCTCAGGCTTGGTGGGCACAGAGGAGAGGAGCTTGCCAAGAAGGGAAAATCAGGAATAAAAGCAGGAAGCAATCAGGGAAGTAATTGTGTAACCTTGAGCCAAGAGGAACCTAGGTTGGTATCTCTGGTCTGAGGAAGATGAGCCAGTCTTGCTGAAGAAGCAGCTCCAGGAGGAGTTGCCGCACATAGGGCTGGGTGGCAGGGACATGGTGGCTCTTGGTGGGCACCAGTTGCTGGCCGCTTTGTGTCACTTTTTGGGGCTGCCTGGGGACCAGGTGGGCACTGGGGGACAGCACTGTGTGCCCCCAGGGCAGCATCCCCAAGAGTTATTTCTCATCTCTGCTCCCTGGATGTGGGGAACTCATGAATCCCAGTTTTAAGGGCTATGCCACAGGAGCTGAAATCAGTGGCTGTGCATGTAGGGGTGAGGATCACCATGGCCCAGGTTTCGTGGTGTGCTTGCCGTGCGGCCAGAGGCGTGATGGATGGGCTGGGGGGGTGCGTGGGGCAGAGCTGCTGTGTGACGAGCAATTTAAAAACAGGGCTGCGGAGCAGAGAGCGGTGAGCTCTCAGCCCTGCGATCTGTATTCGGAGGGAAGGCGGCTGCCGGGTTTCAGTGCTTGTAGGTCTTCACTGGGGGTCATGTCTGAATAAATTACATTTTTGAGACCCAGGTGAATGCAGGGGAGCAAGCCACGCTGTCAACGCGGCGATGGAGGAGAGACAACTGTTTGTGATAAATGGGTCAAGATGGGTCCCGGTGTTTTAAAAATTAGCTGTTGACCTAGATAGCGACGGCGTGATGACTTGCTCGCAGCGGGAGCAAAAGCGAGCGTTGCTGGAGCTGCACGTCGCTCTGGAGGCGGGGACGAGCCCCGCGTGCTGGGTTGAACCTGGGCTGTTCCCCGCGCTCCGTTTGTTCCCGGCTTTTCCTCGGCAGCTGGGCTGTGCCCTGGGGAAGCACAGAAGACCTCAGCCCTCTCCTTCCGACGGCTTCGCCAAGTCGGGAGGTGAATGTGTCCCGCAGGCAGCAGCACGATGCCCCGTGCTTTGCTCTCCTTCAGTAACCAAGGACTCTGAGTCGCCTTATTCATTTCCATCCCCGCTCCTATTTTGCAGGGGGAGCAGTGCCTGAGCCCCCATCCGCGCTGCGTAATGCCGGTCCTTCTGGAGATGTGCCACACGTTTGGGTCGGGGCAGTTGGCAGGGTTGATGCTAAAGATGGAGCTGCCGCCCAAGTCGGGTTTGCTTCTGCTTCGTGCTGGGGAAGAAGATCCTCCTCCTCTGGGTGAAGCCATGTTCCTCCTGAGCGCTGAAAGGCCTTCTTGGTGAGAGGCCTGTGAGTGCCCCTCGTTAGCTGCTGTAATTGAATAGTGGCTTTCTTGGGTGTTAATTAAGCAATATCCAAGCTAACGCTGCAGATGCTCTCGCCTGGCACCTGCCAGCAGAGGAGAAGCAGCAGCTCCAAAGTAATGGGGGTCTGGCCATGAGCACCCCAAACTTTGGGAAAAAAGGGGAGGGTGAGCCTGATCCTGGCTGTGCCCCCCTTTCTGAGGGGTATATATGGCATTTTCCCCTGTTGGTGTTTTGTTGGCTTTTGTGATCCTAGTTTCTCATCATGCTGCCCAGTTTGGATTTTCTATTTGAAACCCTCTTAGGCAAGTGCTGCACTGAACCCCTGAAGCCCGCAAGAGGGGGACACACTCATGTATCCAGACATGGTGGGGGAGGTCAGTGGCAAGCCAGGCCTCCTGGGTTGGAGAAGGGGCTGGCAGGAGGCTGCTGCAGGAGGCCAGGTCCTTGTGCTGTCCCTGTGGGTGCGGAGCAGCGCTTGTGGCTCTCCAGCTCCCGTCGGGGTGCAGCAGCCAGCCCCGTTGGTCTGGCGAGGCTGCAGTCACAGCTGGGAACAAGCTTTGGGTGCTGGCTGAGGGCAAAGGCTCCCTGGGGAAGAGGGATGGTCCTCTCTGCTCCTGGGGGCTTGCAGCAATGTCTCTGCGGTGGGTTGCCTTTCCTGTGGCATGTCTTCCAGAATGTTTTCTGTGCTCCTTTGCACGCTGTTTGCAGTGGTGGGAAGGTGCTGAGATTTGAGGAGGGGAAACAATCATGCCAGCACCTGGGTGCCGAGGGCTGGGTGGCATTGCCCCCTTTCCTGGGAGCCCTGAGCCATCAGGGCTGCCCTTGTATTGCACCCAAAAAGCAACATCCTTGAGTCCCAACAAGGGTTGGGACCATGGCTGGGTGTCTGGCCCACGGCAGGCACAGGTTTCCCAGGCCTAGGGAGGCTCTACCACCTCCCTGTGTCCCAGCCCTGCCTGCTGTGCCCTGGCACAGGGGCTCCCGTCCTGCTCCGAGCTGGCTCCCTGCCTCTCGCCACAGCACCGGGAAAAGGGGCTCAGCCTTTCCCTCCCCTCACTGGCATCTGGGTCAGGTCCTGCCCTCCCCCATCACCAAGGATGCTTTGTGCACCACCCTGTGCTTCTCCCTCCTTGGGCTCCCTGCCTGCGTGCAGCCAGTCCTGCTCGCTTTGGAGACCAGGGGTCTGCCCAGAGCACGGCCGTGGCTCTTGGCTGATGAGCCTGGTGATGCCCTGCCTGCACCGCAGGCGAGCTGTTCGCCTGGAGACAAGAGCCTCTGGAAGCATGGCTCCTAGTAGAGGAGGAGTTTGGCACCAAAACCTGTTCTGCTGCTGGGTGTCAAGGTGGGATGCAACAGGCAGCCAAAGTTGGGTTGTGCTGGGCTGGGGGGGATCCAGGACTCACTGCAGTGAAGTTAGTGGTGGGACAGGATAACGCAACTGTGTGCAGGTCAGAAGTTCCCCATCGTGTGCCACCATGAGCTGGGGATCGTTACCTGTCTGTGATGGCAGCCAAATGTGCTTTATAACACTTGGTCCCTAGGAATCTCATGCTTTGGTTTGCAGCGACTTTCCTGTGTGTTTTCCTCAGGAAAACAACATTCCCTTCACAGCCTCAAGGAAAAAGAAAGTTTGGTCCTTATCTATGGAGGTTGTTAGTCCCCATGTGTGACAGAGAGGTGACTCCTGACCCCAAGCCCGCTCCCATCGGTGTGTTCATGAGCGGGTACCTTGCCTGTTTTGCCTGCCCAAGGTGGCCAGCAGCGACATGTGCTGCTTTATCTCCCGCAGGCTCCTGCTTCTGGGTCGCCGTCCTGGACGGCAACGTGGTGGGGATCGTGGCGGCGCGGGGCAACGAGGAGGACAACACGGTGGAGCTGCGCCGCATGTCCGTCGACTCCAACTACCGCGGCAAAGGGATCGCCAAGGCCCTGGGCCGCAAAGTGCTGGAGTTTGCCATGCTCAACAACTACTCCTCCGTCGTGCTGGGAACCACGGCCGTGAAGATGGCAGCCCACAAGCTCTACGAGTCCTTGGGGTTCAAGCACGTGGGTGTTGTCGAACATTACGCCCTGCCGGGGATGACGCGTTCCTTACTGGAGAGAATGTTTTTCCAGCTCCGCTACCACCGCTACCGCCTGCAGCTGCGGGAAGAATAAAAAAAAAAAAAAAAAACCCAACCAACCAAACGAAAAAAAAAGAAATTTTTTTTTTTCCTAACTCCTCCCCCTTCAAAAATAATAAATTGCCCTTCTATTTCTCGTCACTGTTGATTTGCCAATTTTGGGTTGAGTTTTTGTTCCCTCACGTCATCTTTTGGTTTGCTCCGTGCAGCTCGATCGTCCGGCCGAGCAGCGCTCCTTCCTCGCATGCTGTAGGCGGTGGCGCTGGGAGTCCTGCGACCTGGCGGGGCGGAGCGGAGCGGCGGCCTCTCCTTCCCAGGTACCTCCGTAAAGCACAGGAACTTTAACTGCAAAATTGTACCACTGCTCTGGTGTACATAGTCTTCTCCTTTTCCAAGTGTAAGATAACATAGTCATGCATTCATAATAGTGCAGGAATATTACTTGAATGCAGTTTTCAGTATTTCATGCACCAGTAAGTAGAATATGCATTTGTCTTACCGTTATTTACAGGTTAATAGTTTTCAAAGAAAAGGTGGGGGGGCAAACAGCCTCCCTTCCCCCCCCGCCCCAACCCGCTTGCTACGATGCATGAAGAGGAAAGCGCGCGCACTCAAACACATCGCACCGCCACCACGGCACTGGTGTTGCACTTTTTTTGGATGTGCCTCATTCTGCCAAATGTTTGAGAGACCCTGGGTGCATCCGGTAACCACGACTCCGCTCCATTCCCCCCCCCTCCTTCCTAAGCCAGCACAGACTCGGACCGGCTGAACTCTGAGCCCCGTTGTACCATAGCGTGAAGTTAAGATCAAACCTAAATATCTCTTGCGCTGTTCTGTAGCCACGCGTAACCTGCAGCCCTGGGCCAGACTCCGCATGTGCGTTGGACTTTCTCTTTGCTGCCTTCTTGGGGTTTTTTTTGTTTGTTTGTTTTTAATTTTATTTTTAAGGGTTTTTTTTTTTGTTGTTGTTGTTATTATTTTTAGTTTTGGCTTTTGCTGAATGGTGTCATTGAGGCGTAATGGAGGCTGCAGTTCCTATGGCAACACATTTGCACATTAATGTGCGCACCAAATCTAACCACTTCAGAGAAGCACCGTGTGACAGATAATAGCATTTTGGGGAGCGCCGGGGGGTGGGGGGGGAAGGGGGGGGAGCATACTTGTTATCTTAACCAGCTGCTTGTTTGATAAATGTAGGTGGCCTCACTGCAACCTTCCATCAAAGGTAACTAACTGCTTTAATGATGTCAGATTTGTGAATTGTACAATGCAAAAAGCAATGCAAAGCAGATTTGGCATGTGTCTGTACCCAGTCTGTATGTACAGTGCCTGCCAACTAAAGAATAACCAAGACTGCAGCTTCTTGTAGCCTGAGATATCAACTTTTATAACTTATTTAAACAAATAGCAACTTTGCATGAAGTATGTATTTGGGAAAAAAAAAAAAAAACCTGCCAACTAAAGAATAACCAAGACTGCAGCTTCTTGTAGCCTGAGATATCAACTTTTATAACTTATTTAAACAAATAGCAACTTTGCATGAAGTATGTCTTGGGGAAAAAAAAAAAAAAAAAAAGGATGGGTAGGTTTTAATTTTTAAAACGTGGTATCAGAATTATGAGGAAAACCATTCCTGGCTGCACTTAATTCGGGGTGGGTGGAGGGGCTCAGCTGTGTTAATACATTTAAAGGGAAAACACCTTTAATTTAGTTCCTGGGGGGGAAAAAAAAAAAGTTACTATTTTGTGAAGTATTATGCGTGTGGGGAGGGGAAAAAAAACCCCAACACCTCTTACGATGAACTTGGTGAGAGGTAGAGCGTGTGTTAACCAGGCTGGCGCTTGCAGACACAACGGAGGCGTCAGGAGAGCCGCGGGGAGGAGCGGGGCGGTGGGCAGCAGTGGGGACCCCCGCCCGGGATGCGCCTGCCCCTC